CCCCCCCCCCCTTTATCCTATGCAAGTGTAATAAAATAAAAAAAAACTCCAGAAACCCAAACAGCAGAGGGGCTGCTCTGGACTGAGGCCCTTTATGGTGATCAGGATTTTAAAGCATCAGTGGGAGGTTTTTCTGACCAAACGCGTCCAGTGAGACGAACCTAAAACTCTGTCCGATGCAGACAGAGGACGTGGATTTCCGCTAATTTCTTCTGGGGTTTGCCGTTAGTGTCCTTTGGGGTATGGAAGGCGGAGAGCATCAACAAAACCCACACTGAGACCACCTTTTCCATCCCTTTAGCCATTTTTTGTGCCCTGCCATCTCATTTCTAAGAGATCTACAGTGGGGGAAATAAGTATTTGACCCCTTGCTGATTTTGCAGGTTTGCCCACTTACAAAGAATGCAACGATCTAAAACTTTAATCATATGTACATTCTAACAGTGAAAGACAGAATCCCAAAGAAAATTCCAGAAAATCACATCATATGAAATAATAAAAATTGATAACCATCTGATGAGGAAAAATAAGCATTCTTTGTAAGTGGGCAAACCTGCAAAATCAGCAAGGGCTCAAATACTTATTTCCCCCACTGTATCAGCCACTTACGGTGGTTGTGGTGTCTCCGGGTAAACGTGTTTACCCCCTGATATCAGCCATACAGATAAGAGACTAGGAAAACTCACTGTGAGCCTCTTTTGCTTTCGACCGTCTTCATTTTTAGATTGGATTCGAGCTTTGACTGCATCCGGGATTCAGACTCTAATGAGGCCCGTGTCGGATTCTGGGGGGCTTCTTCATACTGTAATTCTCTTTATGTGGATCTGATTTGAGGTTTGAGGTGAGCAGGAAGCAGGAAGTTCATTGCTTTTAGCATTTGACAACCTGATGGGATGACAAATGGAGGTGGTTTTTGGTTGGGTTTTTTTCAGGACATTTCTAAGTGCTTCTTTAATAGTCTGCAGAATGCTTAAAGTTTTTTTTAGCTGTAAATGTAAACGTAAGCTGTTTGATTTGTTTCAATAATTCTGCTCACGGCCCGGATAACTCGGTTTACAGTTTAGTAGTGTTTCTCAGAAGAAATGACAGGGGTCTTATAAAATACAACAAAATTTTAAAGTGTCTGTAAAGAAAAAAAAGCCACAAAAATGGGAGGCGACGGCGGCTTTGAGAGCTTATAACGGTGTTTTTTCCCCGTGGAGACATGGAGCTGTGTTTTCCGACGCTGGTAGCTGAAGAGGAGCTGCGGGGTCAAAGGTCACTGCCAAATCCCCAGGTCAGAGACGGGGTTAATTGGCTTGTGCACAAATGAATGAATGTGTCAGTTCCAGTGTCCGAGTCCGAGCAAAAGGACCCACTTTGATGGCCGCGGCTCTCTTTTTCCTTTCTTTTTCACTTCTTTTTCCTTTCTTTTTCCTTTCTTTTTCGATTTTCTCTGAGCAACGGCGTTCAGATAAAACCCAAATTGGTGCGATTAACTGAAACTCCGGACTAAAAAGTGAGATCGCCGGGCTTTTTCTCGCTAACCCAGAGCACATCCTCAGTAAGGAGGCCTTCCTGCAGGTCCGTGCGCGTGCACGTGCACGCTCACGTGCACGTTGTCTGGTTGTGTTTGCGTGGCCAGGTGAGGGCAGA